TTACTGGTTAGTGTTTAGTATATTAAATTTTTGCATCTACATTCGCATGAAATCACAATCACCCTTCATTCGACATTCATTTTATTTTTCCACTGTGAACTGCAATCGCTTACCCGTTAAACGCAATTCCTTTAAGCACAATACAACAGGAGATTAGGGGATCCAATTCCTGGATTACCGACCACTCCCGTAGTTGCGTCTGCGAGTATTTTGTTTCTGCATGCAGCATTATTACTGCAAGTACCAGCACCCAAGTGAACAGCAGCAACACCTAAGAGTTTTACAAAAGTGATTTAAATTTACATTTGAGATCTGTCCTAGCCATGAATACTTAAACAAAATCAATGAACGTGGATGCCGATATAGTTAGATGATATGGTGTGTAAATACACTTACCTGTTACGTGTGGGCATGCCATTGAAGTTCCGCTGAGAACTGCGTACGCACTGTCATCGGTATTGTAGGAACTTCTAACATCACTTCCAGGTGCAAAGATATCGACACAACCACCAAAGTTAGAATATGGTGCACGTTGGTCATTGCTCTCAGTGGCACCAACTGTCAAAGCCTGTATTGGAAATAATGCAATAAGTAATACAAATAATGACGAAATTATCCAAATACTAAAAATACTGAGCACAAGATACTTACAGCTTCCACTCTAGCTGGTGAGGTATTGCATGCAAGTGCATCGTCGTTTCCGGCAGCTATTGATACAGTGTATCCAGCAGCTATCATTCGCTCTACAGCTGAGTCCATGGCAAGACTTTCACCGCCGCCAAGTGACATTGAAGCAACGCCAGGCTGAGTGCCTCCATCCGTAACGGCATCACATCCTATGATATAAAATGATTGAGTCTGCTTAACATGAAGTGATGATTTCGAGTGAACGCAATGTTTATATGCCTTTCGTCTACCTTATATTATACTATATATCTGGCTGGCAGTATTATTGATTCCGCTATGCAAGGGTTGATGTTGACCTCAAATCAATTTTAATTTGAATCAGTAATTTGCAACGTTTGATTGTTAGTCGGAAGAAACAGGCACTTGAGTCTCATATTGAATAATATAAATTCAGCTCTCATGGGTAACGTTTTTGCTTTCATGACAAACTGAATAGAAATATGATCCGAGAAATCACCCAAAATAAAATAGTAATCGATTTCAACGTACCAGCTACGATGTTAGCGGTTGTTCCGGCTCC